CGCTCCACACGTACTTCATGAGGAACTGCTCCAGCATGATGTACCACAGGCGTTCCAGCAGGATAAGGTTAATCTGCGAGGCCAGGTCCTGGTACGAGTGCTGCAGCAGAGCGAGCTCCACCTGCGGAGGGCGGGAGAGGGAGGCCAGGCGGCCTCCTGGTAAGGCCCACGGGCACCACCAGAGTCTCCAAGCACCGCTCGGACACGCTATGCCATTTGGTGGCCACGACAAGGGCAAGGGTACGGGGTTACGACTGGACCCTATTCACAGGGGCCGGTTTCGAACTTCGGGACTGCCTGACGTCATAGTACCAGGGTACGGTCGCCACCAAGAAGGGCCTCCCCACCCCCACCTTCCGAGGCCCATGGCCCCATCCTTTCTTTCCACCACCTGTCTAGCTGGCATGCTTACCACACCCCTGTTTTGCCCCGCGCAGCTTTGGGGCATCTCTGGGCAACTGCTGGCGGGGAGGGGGGTGCTAACCGTAACTAAGCAGAGAGCGGCACGGGAAAGCAACAGGCGGTACTTGGGTTTGAGGAACTCAGTTCCAGAGTCTCCCGGTCTCCTTGGGCCCCACTGCCCCAACCTGCCCAAGGTTCCCCTGGATGAAGACCCGACACCGTATTGTCCCCCAGAAAGCTGAAGGGCAGGCTCCTCCGCCAGTGCCGCCCTTCCCTCCCCATTGCCACAGGGGCCACCACCTGTGACCCCAGGTCGCTTGCACAGCCGGGGAAAGGGGCTCCCGCAGGGTCTGGAGAAGAGAGCGGCGAAGGGAACGGAAGGCAGGCCAGAGGGGTCCGGAACTGGTCACGGCAAGGAGGCCATTCGGTGGTGGCTTTCTAGGCTCCTTACAGGGGTCTGTGCCCCAGCCCCACCTCCCACCCCTGGCTGAGCCCAGCTGCCCAGCCTGGCACCGTCTCCTTTGCCGAGTACTTTCGCACCTGACTCTCCACTTGACTCTCATCACACGCCACAGCGTGTGTGCTCTCACGCCCGCTGGACTGTGGGACGACGAAGCCCAAGAGCCAAAGGGACCTGCCCAAGCTCACACCACTTGGAGGCAGCAAGAGGCATGACTTTGCACCATCCTGGCAGAGCCATCAGCAGAGAACCAGGTTCTCATAAACCTGCTTTGATGCTTTGATTTGCTGAGAAAGGTTCACCTTGTTCTCCAGCCAGCGGCAGTTTGTGTGTACGTGTGTACGCGAATGAAATCTAACTCGGCCTCCTTCAGGGAGCTCAGTGAGAACAGGACACTGTGATGTCTGCCCGCCAGCCAGCCAGTCACCTCTGCCCTAACCTGTTGAATGGAGCCTGGGCCAGTGTCCATAGGGACATCAGCTGCTGGAACTGGGGTGAGCCACGTGCCTGCTCAGTGAAGGCACCTGACGCACCCACGAGGGCCCATCACCCCACACCACTTTCCAGCCCTTGAGCCGAGGTGGAAAGAGACAGGCTGTGGACACACACCGGGGCCCTCCTGCCCCCACCAGCCAGGTCTGGCACACTGATTGGCTTTGCATCGAGTCCAATCCTGGTTCCTGAAGTGAGCATGCCTCCTCCGAGCACCCTGGCAATCCAGGCTCGTGCTGGGAGCTGGCAGGAGCGCCAGCCGGGGCTGACAATGTAGCTGCGGGTAAAGTGCCAAGCGCCTCACCCAAGGCCGTGGCTGACCGCCAAGGCCCTGCAGTCCAGCATGCGGGAGACGAGACCCGGGTTGTAGCTGCAGACCAGGCATTTTCCCCCAACCTGGAGCCCAGCCCTACACCTGGGATGCCCACTGTGCACAGTTTAGGGACAAGCCTTTAAGAAAAAAAAATCATGGCCCCTGCCCAACGTGCAGCCAATGGGACAAGGTCGGGCGACAAGAGGCCACCTGAGCCGGGAAGGACACACACGGGCCTCCTCCAGGAGGCGGCTATACCGTTGTGCCTTGTGCCCTTCCCTCCAGAAGCCCTCGGGAACCAAAACCGGAGTCGCAGAGAGCAGGGCCCGAGGCAGCTGCAACCCCAGGCACGAGGAAGGGGAGGGGCGAGGCGAGATAAAGGGAGCATTGGCCCCGAGTAACCTTTCCCAGCGCCAGGCTCCCGGGAGGCCTGCTGGGGAGCTGCGCGCCTGGGACCCGGGCGGAAGGGCGGCCGCGCGGGTGGGGGGGGGGCAGGGTGGCCGCCGGCGGGCAGGAAGTGCGTCCAGCCGCGGTGGCGGCCTGGGCCGGGCGGGCCTGGGGAGGCAGCCGAGCAGGCAGCCAGGCTGCCTGCGGGCGCAGGCGGGGGAGGCTCTGACCCCGGGCGCCCAGCACTGCTGGGGCTGCGGCCGCCGCGCCGGGCGCTGCTCGTTAACGCCTGCTCGGGCTGAGTCATGCCCATAACGCCGGCCTGCCGGGCCCACCAGCTGGGCCAGATGCCGGCCTTCAAAGGGCCCGGGGCCCCGCAGCCGGCCGTGCCCCCCCCTCCCCGGGTCCCTGCTTCCAGATGGCAGGAGCCTCCTCCCGGCTGGCTGTAGGAGCGGAGCAAGCAGGGAGCTCCCACACCCCGAACCGCTAGGCTCCACCGCCCCGAGGCCAGGATAAGCACCCCGAGGGGGAGAGGAAGCAGAAGTGGCCCTGGGCGGTCCCCACCCGGCCTTCCTGCTTCTCCATTTCTGGGGCCTAAACCTGGGCTGCCCCAGGTCCTGCCATCCCCAGTCTGTGGCCTACCCACACCTCTGGCCTCGGCCCCCGCCAGCGCTGCTGTCCGTGGCCGCCTGCCCCCTGCCTGCCCCCTGCCACCAGCTCTCGTCTGCGCTCAGTACCCCGACCTGCCCCACCTCGTGGCCCCCATAGAAGGCGATCTCCTCTGAGTTGGCCACCACTCGGGAGTGCATGTAGCGCAGCTCTCCCTTCCTCCGCGCCTCCTCTGCCACCAGCTCGCCAAACTTGGGGGAGAAGGCTCGCAGCACGTTGGCTGTGAGGAACACAACGAGGCCGGCGATGGCCGAGGGCCAGGCTGTGCCGGCCCCACGGGAGCGGGCCGCCCGAAGCAGGGTGTAGGCGGTCACCGCCACGTCCAGGAGCGGCTTGGTGAGGTTGGAGTACAGGTGGGCCACAGAGGCGGCAAAGGCCACCACATCCTCGGTCAGGGACTGGTCAGGGTTGCGAAGCCGCCCGTCCATGTTGCTGACTCGGTAGTAGGTCTGCTGGGAGAAGTAAAGGCTGTAGGCATGGGCCACTAGACGGCTGCGGAAAGACAGGGCCAGCTGGCCCTCGAGGTACCGGATGGCGCTGTTGATGAAGGTGGCAGGGAGCGCGATGAGCAGCCACTGCAGGAGCTGCCAGCCGAAGGCCCGCGGGTCCTTGCGCACGATGCAGCGGGCCAGCCGGCCGTCCAGGCGGGCCACGTACACTGACAGGAAAGTCCGGCTCACCAGGGAGGCCGAGTGCAGCGCCAGCAGCCCTGTTTCCCGGCACAGTGTCCTGGGGAAGAGCAGCCGCAGGAGTCCCAGGAGCCGCTGCAAGAACACCCGGTTCACGCTGGCCTTGGCCGCTGTGGCCCCAGATACCTCCTGCGTGGACTCCCCTGCTGGTACCTGAGGGCCCCTGGTTGCAGCCAGGTAGTGCCGCACCAAAGGGTAGATTTTGTGGGCTCCATAGGCCGTGAGGGCCAGGACCAGGGCTGTGCGCTTCAGCGTGGTCACCCGCGAGGACCGGGGGGTGGAGAGCACCGGCATGTCACCTGGGTTGGATGCACAGGGCTGGGACTGGTGCCTGAGGCAGAAGTCGAGGCAGGTGGCTGGAAGGGTTGTTGCTCTGACCCCAGGTTCCTTGTCTAGGCAACTGGAAACCTTGCAGTGGTTCCTGAGACTGTCGCGTTAGGCCACCGGGGCGGTGCTGGGGACCCTGGTGCGGTGGGCTCGGGGCCCTCCAGCGTAGCGGCCTCTTCAGGCAGCCAAGGTGGAGAAACTTGTCAGGCCCCCAGCCCCTGGGGGCAGAGCCTCGGGGGTGGGGGTAGGGGGTGTCGGCAGAGAGGGCGGCTCTTCCTCTCCACCTCCTCCTCCTCTCCCGGTGGCGCCCCTTCCCGGGGCACCGGGCGCGTCCGTCCGCTCCGCAGCCTGGCTGAAGCCGACAGTGACTTCGCCACCCGCCCCGAATCCCCACCCACCCACCCCTCCCCAGGGGCGAGTCGGGGGGAAGGGGCGGGGGCGGAGGAGGGGCGGGAGGCGGAGCCCGGGCGCGGCCGGCCCCACCCCGTTCTCGTTCTCCGGCTGGGCTCCGCCCCTTCCCCGACCACTGAGACGTGGGAGGACCGCGCGGGCCAGAGAAGCGCGCGCTGGCTTTCCCGCCAAGGCCCCGCCCTCCTCCCGGCGCGCCCGAGGCGTCCCCGCCCAGCCTCGAGGCGCCTCTTCTCCTCCAGTCCTGGGCTTTGGAGCCTCGGCTTGGGGGTGGGGCTCCATGTGGCCGTGGGCGGAGCCCCGGGGCCTGGGTGCGGCTGGGAGCGGGGGGCGGGGCGCGGCGGGTGCTTCCGGTTTCCGGCCGCGGGGGAAGGGGCGGGGCCAGGGCCGTGTGGGAGCGTTGGTAGCGGCGGCCGCGGCGGCGACGGGGCGTGTGCGTTGGCTGTGGGGAGCTCGGTGAGCGTGGTGGCGCGCCCGGCTGGGCTCTGCGGACAGCCCGGGCCTCCGGGCCTTCGACGGGGGCGGCGGCGGGTAGAGCGGAGAGGCGGGAGTCCGGGGGCAGGGCTGGGCGGAGGGAAGGCGGGGCGGCGGCCGGAGTTGGGCTCTGGGGGCGTGAAGGCGTGGGGGCCGGCCGCGGGGCTGAGGGGCGGTGGCGAAGCTCCTCGCGACGGGCCGCCGGCCTGAGGCTGGAGGAGGGCGTGGCGGGCTAGGGCCTCGTCGGGGGCCGCGCGGGGGCAACGCGGGGGCCTGGAGCCGGGTGGGCGGCTGTGGCCGACCCGCGCTGCCGTGAGGGCTTCGTTCCTCCGGTTTCTCAGGAGACCGCTTTTTCTAGAACTTTCTCTAGACGAGGCCAGGAGATGCTTAACACGAGACCCGCATTTGCGCTTGGCCCCGACTCCCGCCCGGTAGGAGTCGCTCTTGTGGCTTTTCGGAGGTTCCCTGAGTTCTCCCACCGCCTCGGGAGTTAGACGAGCGGCGGCGTCGGAAGGTTTTTTGTTTTGTTTTGTTTTTAGCGCCTGCTTTCGCCCGAGAGAGGGACGCCGGAGGTTTTCTCTCGGCTCCGTTCGTGAAGGCTCGGGAGGGAAGGGCCTCCGGGGTTCCCTGGGGCTGGGTGTGGGGGCGCCGCGGCTCCTGGAGAAAGTGCGTTACTGAAACACTGCCGCCCTGAGGCTGACTGGGAAGGGAGTGTGCCTGATGGATGTCGAGAATTTTCTCCCGTTTATATAATGTTTATTAACACTTTCCCAGTTAAGCAGGCATAAGGAGTTTGCTGGACTCTGTCGGGAAAGGAATCCGCCGGAAAGGTGGCTCTTAATGCGCATCCTGGAAGGCAGCAAGCAATTCTGTCCTGGCAAACTGGAGTTTCTCAGGCCTTTGAGCACTGTTGGCCAAGTATCCCTGCTAAGTCGAGGCCAGTTTCAGCCAGTGGCTTAAAAAGACCCGAGTAGAGTGCTGGGGTAGAGGGTAAACAGCGGCTGCTCAGCTCTCACAACAGCTTCTGTCCCTTTTGTGTCCTGTCAGGAAACAAGCTCGCATCCCACTGTTGGAAACCTTCTAGCAACAGCATGAGTCTGCAGTGGACTGCAGTCGCCACCTTCCTCTATGCAGAGGTCTTTGCTGTGCTGCTTCTCTGCATTCCCTTCATTTCTCCCAAAAGGTATGGTCTGTGCGCAAGCAGGCAAGCAAAAGGGTGATTGTTGCTGAGTCCCAAACCCTTGTGCATGCAGAGTTGGTAAGACCCTGGAATTGGGGCCAGATGGAAACAGGTAGAACCTGTCTGGGGTTGAGGTGGCAGGGGTTGTGTTTATTATTGCCAACCTTCCACACAGTTTTGCTTTGTCACATCTTTTTGAATTCCTTTCCCGTGCACACTGCCTTCTGGCCTTCGGAATGCTCCAAAAGAGAGAAGACCTCTCTCTGATTATGTTTCTTTCTTGGAATGATACCCTCTGCCTTCCCTCGGGGGTTCAAGGGGGTGGCAATATGGCATCTGGAACACTTGCACTATGGGGTCATGTTGTAGTTGATTTGGTAACTTCTGTCCTTCTAAGCAGCCCCGCTGGCACTGCGTAGCAGCCTCGTGAGCATTACTCAGCCTATGAGAGATGAAGCCATATTGCTTTTAATGAGCAAGGATCTGTTAAAAGTTAATTGGAAATTAATGTTTAATTACACATAATATGTGAACATTCTCTGATTTTAATTAGACAATTGTAAATAAAGCTAAATCTTTATAGATTTTTTTAAAAATGATTTTTAAAAGATTTTATTTATTTATTCATGACAGAAACAGAGAGAGAGAGAGAGAGAGACGCAGACACACACGCAGAGGGAGAAGCAGGCTCCATGCAGGGAGCCTGACATGGGACTCGATCCCGGGTCCCCAGGATCACGCCCTGGGCTGAAGGCGGCGCTAAACTGCTGAGCGACCCAGGCTGCCCCTTAAAAATGATTAAAACAAAAACATAGATCTCTGACATGATAAAATAGGAAGCATATGATATTGTCTAGGACATATTCTAGCCAAAAGCCAGATCTGAATTTCTTTGCGCTTCATACAGTTCAGAGGAAATGTAGAGACAGAGGCCTTTTTGGAGCTGCAATCTGGGCACCTTTGTGGGAAAAACAACCTGGTTTCTGCAGAAAGTCGATTGGGAAAGAAGGTGGAAGAGGGCGAGGAGAGATTGAAGCTACTTATCAACTAAATGCAGAGTCAGAACCTTGTCTGTTCAAATTCAAACGAACCAACTGTTAAAAAAAATTGCAGCAGTTAGACTTTGGGACTCTGGCTCTGATAATGAGGGATTCTTGTTCATTTTCTTGAGGTTTCGTGATAGCATCATGATTGCATTAACCATTCTTAAAGGCTATTTTCTAACAGTTACCTCCTGAAGTATTTATGGAAAGAAACAAAGGGAAGTCTTGGGTCAGCTTCATAATAATCCAGGGTGGTGGAGGTCTACATGAATCCACTTTGGTCATGTGGAGAAACTGTTTGAGGAAATAATGGGTATGTGGCAAGCGTTTTGAACATTACATAGAGGAATGCAAAGAAAAGTTTAAGTTTTCTGTTTCGCTGCCTCTGAAAGCCATATGTTAATTATCCTTGAATAATAGTAAAAAAAGAACATTTTTGTTGCCTTCCCCAGAGATTACTAGTGTTTTGTTTTCTTTTTACTACTAGGGTTTTTAAGAGAGTGGTTTCACAGGAATTTCTGTATATGGCCAAGCATCCCCCCCCCCCACACTCTCTCAAACAGATGTCCTACATTGAAGAACTGAGGACACTTGAGGCTGAGGCCGTTCAGGATATTTAGCCATTGGAGATGAGTGCAAGACTGGCTTTCTGTTCTCAGGGTCCTGGGTCCCAAGTGTATGTTTCTACAGCTTTTTTTTTTGTCTCCTTCACAGATGGCAGAAGATTTTCAAGTCCCGCCTGGTGGAGTTGGTAGTGACTTATGGCAACACCTTCTTTGTAGTCCTCATTGTCATCCTTGTGCTGCTGGTCATTGGTGAGTGAGCCATGGCTGAGGGCAGCCATGTGCCCCAGCCTCTCTGCCACAGCATGGCCTCTGCTGTAAAGCCTTGTGCAGTGTTCCATGTATAGCCTATAAGTTGGATTTCTCCGAGATAGACCACCTCAGTGCCTCCGTCTTCCTCTTGGAAGGAGGATCCCTCATCCCCGAAGAGAATGCTCTTGACTGTTGGCAGGGCCTTTACTTTGACCGGCAGCCTTTTTGCACCCTGTGATGACCACCTTTTGGGGGTGGCTCCTCAGGTCATTTCAGAACTGAATCCGAGAGAAGCTGACTGGCTGATGTTGATCTTGGTTTAAGCAGCACTGCTTTTCAGTTATGTAGACAGGTTGTGAATAAGGGACCGAGTGACCAAATGGTCAGGGAGTGGGGCTGGAAAGGAAGCTGCCGTGACCTATAGCATAGTGGGGACTGAGGTCTGGCAGTGTATCCCAGAGCCTTCTGGATTGGGTCAGGCTTCAGGGTCTTTATGGGTCCTTCTAACTGTGGAGTTCTGTAAACACCATGTTGAGGAACACACTAACCAGGCTTGAAAGATAAGCTGGTCTCAGGGCATTCTCAGGGATGGGGCTTGGGGCCTTATATGGTACTAAGGTGGAAGGCAGGCATTTTGTGACGTGGTGATGTGATTGTTTGGAGACCAAAGGCAGCAATATAGCTTTCATTTGGCTGTTAAATATGTGTTTTGTTGTACTAAGTGGTCAGCATATCCCTCAGCTTGGACTTTAAAGTATTGGCTGGGTTCTGTGGCAGACAGTGGTTCTGTCTCCAAGGTGTTGATACCTGCTTAGGCTCAGAGCACTCCTCTCTACCTGAGTCTCCAGGAGAAATGTGGCAGTGGATCGGAGGCCAGGGAGCTATAGTTGGGCGGGGCGGGGTGGGGGGAATGTGTAAGGCACCATCCACTAGCTGTAGCATTAGGCATTTTTCCTCCTAATGTGTTGGCGCCTGATGGAATATGTTCAGGCTTCTCTGAACAGGCCAGGTGCAGCCTACCCGTTCCCACTTGTATAGGGTGGGCATCAGCTGCCCACATGTGCATACTGTGCTGTTCTTGAAATACTCGGCAAGGCCCCATAAGTAGCTCTTTGCAGTCAGAGTTCCTTCCCTGTGTGGCCTCTGAGGCCAGAAAGGGTAGAAAATAAGGGTGTCATCCTTTGAGCATTAAAAAACCAGGCTTTAGAGTTGTGGAATGGAGTATGTGTGATTCTGCTTTTAGGTGTAGGGTAGGGGTAAGGGGGTGGGGAGAGGCTTGCCAGGGTGCTGCCTCGCCAGGGTGCTGCCTCCAGGCCTTGCTCCTCTGTAAAGGATCCATGAGCTCCACATGTCTTGGCATAGCTGATGGGCCAAGGAGGTCCTGTGAGAACCTAGGAGTTGGCAGAGGTGCCATTCTTCTTTTTTGAGGTCAGGGAACTTGGAAGTTCCAGAGAGACACTGGTTTTGATGACTGGCTCCTTCCTACCGTAACAGTAAGAAGTGTGATCTAGATAAGTGTGTTAAGACTTCTACAGGTATAAATGTTACCTAGCAGAAATGTTTTTTATTCTTTTTATTTTTAAAATTTTTTTTATAAGATTGCTTCTTTTTTTTTAAAGATTTTATTTGTTTATTAATGTGAGGCAGAGAGAGGGGGTGGGCAGAGACATAGGCAGAGGGAGAAGCAGGCTCCTTTCAGGGAGCCGGATGTGGGACTTGATCCTGGGACTCCAGGATCATGCTCTGGGCTGAAGGCGGCGCTAAACTGCTGAGCCACCCGGGCTGCCCAGCTAGCAGGAATCTTGATGAAAGGTGATGAGCATAGCTAGCTGGAGCTGCAGCCCTGGCTGGCCCCTGAAGGGGAGGAGTCTGGGCAGGTCTAAGAGGGAAGGTGGGAGAATGGGCTTGATGGGCATCCACGGTCAGCTGCCCTGGTCCAGAGCCTTGAGATACGGAGGGCAGCACTGTGTTGCGTGATTTGGACTAGTGGCCTAACACCCCCATCCCCAGTCTGCTCCCTGCCATTGACCAAAGTGGTCCTTAGGGTGTTGGGGTCCCTGGATGCAGATGATGGAACAGAAAAACATGTTTTTGTTTTATTTTAGTATTTTGTTTTTTATGGATTTATTTATTTTAAGGAGATGAACTTGAGTGTGGTCAGGGTGGGACAGAGGGAGAAGGTAGTCTTAAGCAGGCTGCACTGAGCATGGATCCCAACCTGGGGCTTAGTCTTATGACCCTGAGATTATCACCTCAGCTGAAACCAAGAGTTGGATGTTTGACTGTGCCACCCAGGCACTCCAAACATGTTTTTGGTTTTTTTTTTTTAATCACAAAATAACATGTTTTTTTCCTAAGATTTTATTTATTCATGATAGGCATAGAGAGAGGGGGGCAGAGGCACAGGCAGAGGGAGAAGCAGGCTCCATGCTGGGAGCCTGACGTGGGACTCGATCCCAGGACTCCAGACACACGCCCTGGGCCAAAGGCAGGCGCTGAACCACTGAGCCACCCAGGGATCCCCCACATGTTCTTAAAAATTCAGAAATTTAACCAGAAAGTCCTCCCATAATCCCGTATCACAAGAAAAATGATCATTGATGCTTTGTTGTGCATGTCCATAAGCATTTTTTGATGCTGGCATCTTTATTAAAATACTGTATACTGTTTGGGATTGGATTCAGATCATAGTACACCCTGTTTTGGATTGTGCATTTTGTTTTGTGTTAGATCTCTTTTTACAGCAATCTCATCCTTTTTCAACATTGTGTGGTATCCTGGGGCACCTGGCTGCCTCCCTTGGCTCAGGTCGTGATCTTAGGGCCCTGGGATCAAGCCCCTTGTCGAGCTCTGAGCTCAGCGGGGAGTCTGCTTCTCCTCCTCCTTCTGCCCTTCCCCCCACTTGTGCTTTCTTTTTCTCTCTCTCAAATAAAATCTTTAATCTTAAAAAATAAATGTTATGTGGTATCATAATACATGTTTTGCTGTGATTCAATTTTTTAAAAAAAATTTTGAGAGAGAGCATGAGAGAGCACAAGTAGGGGGTAGGGGAAGGATAGAGGAAAAGGGAGAAGCAGGCTCCCTGCTGAGCAGGGAGCCCAATGGGGCTCTAGCTCAGGACCCCAAGATCATGACCTGAGCCGAAGTCAGATGCTTCACTGACTGAGCCACCCCTCAATTCTTTATAGGTATACCGGTAAGGTCATATATTTATGCAAATGTTTACATAGGATAAATCCACAGAGGTGGAATTTTGATGAATCCAAGGATATGAATGTTTTCAATTTTAGGTCTTACGTTGGGCTGCTATAACAAAAATATAATAGACTGTTTACTTAAACAACAGATGTGTATTTCTCACAGTTCTGGAGGCTGGAAGTCCAAGATCAAGATGCTGGCAGGTTTGGTGCTGGTGAGGGCCTGTTCCTCAGTTCATAAAGCCTTCTCACTTTGTCCTCACATGGTGAAAGGGGTGAGAGAGCTCTGTGGGGTCTCTTTTATAAGGGCACTAACTGGGCAGCCCGGGTGGCTCAGCGGTTTAGTGCCGCCTTCAGCCCAGGGCCTGATCCTGGAGACCTGGGATCAAGTCCCGCATTGCTTCTCCCTCTGCCTGTGTCTCTGCCCGCCCCCCTCTCTGTGTGTGTGTGTGTGTCTTTCATGAATAAATAAGTAAAATCTTAAAAAAATATACAAGGGCACTAACCCCATTCATGGGGGCCCCACTTTCATGACCTAACTCTCCCAGAGGCTCCACCTCGTAATCTTGTAATACCATCTTTCGGGGTGTTAGGTTATCAATATAAAAATTTTGGGAGGGAGGCAAGGGACAGGAACATATAGTTCATAATAAATAGCATGTTTTTGGCCTGGTTTAGATCTCTACTAATAGGGTAGGAGGATGCTTGCTTCATGATACAGATTAACACAAGGACACCAGTAAAGGGAGGCAGGTTTTTTAATAACGTAATATCAGCTTAAAAAACAAAGCAGGCTCTTGGGACACCTGGGTGGCTCAGTCGGTTGACATCTGCTTTTGGCTCAGGTCGTGATCCCCGGGTCCAGGGATCAACTCCCCCAATGAGATCCTTGCTCAGCAGGGAGCCTGCTTCTCCCTCTGCCTGCTGCTCAGAGAAAGAGCATGTCTGCACTCGGAAAAAGAGCATGTCTGCGTGCTCTGTTTCTCTGACAAATGAAGTCTTTAAAAAACAAAAAATAGTCTGAAACAAAAAATTAACCGACAGTATCCATATACTGTGGTACTGCGGTACATTGTTCTCTCCTGTTTGGGGGGGCGGTTCTCTTAAGAGACCTTTCTAGGTAGATCCTTATGTACTGACTTAAAAAGATGTCTCAGGTAACGGGTGGGGAGTAGTAAATGGTTCCTTTTCTACAGTATAGACAAATATGTAAATATACTTGTATACTGGAATACTGTATTCCTATTGGTGCCTCTCAGGAGTAGAGGCTGCTCACAATTCAGTTATTTGCATGCCCCCTATGCACCCAGAACTGTGCTAGGTCCTGGGTGTAGTAGAAAAGACTTCTGCTCTCATGGTTTGTAGTCTAATTCAGGGGATATGGACAACAAACCAGTAATTAGGGTAATTTCAGCTTAGGTGTATATTACAGAGAAAATAGGGTAATGTGGCAGAAAGTGATTGCTTTAGGTAAGATGACTGCATGTCCTGTGTTTGTTGGGGGTGCTTATGTCATGGGATTCTTTCTCTTTAAACATTTCTGGTATATTTGAATTTTTGAGGTCTGTACATTTGTGTGTTTTTTTTAAGATTTTTATTTATTCATGAGAGACACAGAAAGAGAGAGGCAGAGACACAGGCAGAGGGAGAAGCGGGCTCCATGCCGGGAGCCTGATGCAGGACTCAATCCCGGGTCTCCAGGATCACACCCTGGGCTGAAGGCAGCGCTAAACCGCGGAGCCACCCGGTCTGCCCCTGTACATTTATTTTCTAATCAGAATAAGACCGTTCTATTTGCTTTTTTAATTAAAAAATTTTTTTTCCTGTTCTGTAGGTTGCAGTTTAGTTTTGTTGATGGTTTCCTTCACCATGTAGAAGCTTTGTACTTTGACGTACTTCCAGTAGTTTGTCTTTGCTTTTGTTGCCTTTGCCTCAGGGGACAAATCTAGAAAAATGTTGCTATAGTCAATGTCAGAGAAATTAATGCCTGTGCTCTCTTCAAGGATTTTCATGGATTCAGGTCTCACATTTAGGTCTTTCATTCATTTTGAGTTTATTTTTGTGCCTGGTGAAAGAAAATGGTCCAGTTTCTTTCTTTTTAAAAATTTTTAGGGGATCCCTGGGTGGCTCAGCGGTTTAGTGCCTGCCTTTGGCCCAGGGGGGCGCGATCCTGGAGTTCTGGGATCGAGTCCCACGTCAGGCTCCTGGCATGGAGCCTGCTTCTCCCTCCTCCTGTGTCTCTGCCTCCCCCGCCCCCCGTCTATCATAAATAACTAACTAACTAAATAAATAAATCTTTTAAAAAAAGAATTATTTAAAAAATAAAAAATTTTAAATGATTTTATTTATTTATTCATGAGAGACACACAGAGGCAGAGGGAAAAGCAGGTTCCCTGTGGGGAGCCTGATGCGGGACTCAGTCCCTGGACCTGAGATCACACCCCGAGCCGAAGGTAGATGCTCAACCACTGAGCCACCCAGGTGTCCCGGAAGTGGCCCAGTTTCATTCTTCTGCATGTGGCTGTCCAGTTTTCCTAGCTCCATTTGTTGAAGAGATTTTTTCCACTGGATATGCATTCCTCCTTTGTTGAAGATTATTTGGCCATACAGCTGTGAGTTTATTTCTGAGTTTTCTATTGTATTCCATCGATGCCTATTTTCATGCCAGCAGCATACTGTTTTAGTTATTACTGCTTTGTAATATAACTTGAAATTTGTAATTATGATACCTCCTACTTTGTTTTTCAAGATTGTTCTAGCTCTGAAAAATGCTGTTGGTATTTTGATAGGGATGGCATTAAATCTGTAGGTGTTTCTGGGAGATATGGACATTTTAATGATGTCCATTCCTAGAATAAGGCAGTTTATTTATTTATTTTTAAAGATTTTATTTATTGAGACACACAAAGAGAGAGAGGCAGAGACACAGACAGAGGGATAAGCAGGCTCCATGCAGGGAACCTAACATGGGACTCGATCCTGGGTCTCCAGGATCACACCCCGGGCTGCAGGCGGCGCTAAACTGCTGCGCCACTGGGGCTGCCCCAAATAAGGCAGTTTAAATAGTAAAACGCTTCATGAACCTTAGAAACGGAAAAGCTTGTCTTTGGCAAGTGGCTTTGGGGTCTTGACTCCTAGGCTGCTCATGCCTCCTTCGTGGGGATTTACATGAACAGGTTGACCCTGGCTTGTCACTGGGGTAGTTGATGGCCAGCCCGACTTGAGGTAGACGGAACCAGACACTGAGGGCTCCATGGCTGTTGTCAGCAACACCTCAGACTTGGTTAGCACCTTGATACAGAGTAAGTTTGTGGTCTGGGTAGGAATGGGGCCAGGGAGTGACATGAAAAAAGCCGGAGGAGAATGGGTCTCGAGGCCAAGCTTCTGACAAGGCATCCCCTCAAGGTGTGTATAGAAGGGGAGATACCTGGGGTGACAGATGTGAGGGAAGTGGAGTCACGTTGACTTGTGCCACGTGTCTCCCCTGGACAACCCGGTCTTGTCTGAGCAGGAGCTGATGATGCCCTTGTGTTTCTTCTGTGCTGCAGATGCTGTACGTGAGATTCGGAAGTACGACGACGTGACAGAGAAGGTGAACCTGCAGAATAATCCTGGGGCTGTGGAACACTTCCACATGAAGCTTTTCCGTGCCCAGAGGAATCTCTATATTGCTGGCTTTTCCTTGCTGCTGTCCTTGTGAGTGAGGAGGAACAAGGGGCTTAGGGTTGGGAAAGGACTCGTGGGCTAGCCAGTGACTTTGGCTTACTCAGTCTGTGGCCTTGAACTGGGGACCCTCATTCCCCCAGAGGCCTCTGATTCTCCTTCTGACCTCCAGGGGCAGTGTGGTGAGTGGGAAAGGTCTGACCAGAACGGCAGAAGACTTGTGTCCTGGCTCTGCTGTAACTTGCCACGTGGTCTTTTAAGGCAAACACATGCCAAGCTTGCTTTCTTTCTGTAGGCTGAAGTGAGTTATGAGGTGTTGCCCTCTGGGAGAGGGTCTTTGGAGGCCAGTTTATTTTATTTTTATTTTTTTTAAATTTTTTATTTTTATTTTTATTTTATTTATGATAGTCACACACACAGAGAGAGAGAGGCAGAGACATAGGCAGAGGGAGAAGCGGGCTCCATGCACCGGGAGCCCGACGTGGGATTCGATCCCGGGTCTCCAGGATCACACCCTGGGCCAAAGGCAGACGCCAAACCGCTGCGCCACCCAGGGATCTCATGGAGGCCAGTTTAAAGGGACCAGTGGAATAGGGGCCTTTGGGCATGGCAACCTGACCTGAGAAGAGTGAGCAGAAGTGGCACTACGAGGCTGAGACCGTGTCTGTCCCTAGTGCCTTCCCCACTGTAGTTCTGTTGCAGGAGCATTTTGTGCTCCATGGCAGCCCGAGTATTTCTGGTGGGTTTTCTGGTGAGACTGAGGGCCTCAGTCAGGGCCGTGTGGGTGGCTAGCCTGGGTAAGACTGAACTGATAGCAAGTGCCTATTTGAGTCTGGAGGCCTTCTGCTCACAGGGGTTCTTTCTCATCAGAGGGGCCTGGCTGCCATTGAGTGTGCTGATTGGCTGGGAGTAAACATTGTACTCAGGCCAGGGGCTTCCAGAGGTTGGCAGGGTAGTGTGTAAATTCTTGAGTTAGCCTCTTTTGCCTCTGGTCTCCGGGATGCCCCTTTTCACTAGGCCTTAATATGACGGCCTGCCTGGGTTTCAGGTTTTCAGAGGAAAAGACAATCAGGTGACCTTCACCACTCTGGGTCCAGGTTGGAGTGTGGCAGGGTTGGAGCTGGGAAGGACAGAGCTTTACCAGGTGGTCTGTTGGATCACTGAAGGGGTCTGCAAGCATGCTGTCTTCAAACTGGAAATTTCAGTCAGGCAGTGAGAAGGCTGGGAGGACAGGTATCCTGGAGTTGGAGGGTTTCGGGAAGCTCTAAAAAAGAAGCATGATTTTGTGGTCTGAGACTGAAAGGGAGGCAGATCCAGATTTGAGTCTAACTACAGGTGAGCTCCGGGAGGAGGAAGAGTTCACTGTGTGTAAAGCGCCTGCAGAGGTGGGGGCGCCTGGCTGGCATAGTCGGTTGGGTGTCCAACTCTTGGTTTTGGTTTGGGTCCTGATCTCAGGATTGTGGATCATCAGGCTCTGTGTTCAGTGCAGAGTTGGCTTCAGATTCTCTCTCTCCCTCTGCCTCTCCCTGCTGTGTGCCCGCGCATGTGCTCTCTTTTCTGTCTCTCTCTGCCTTTCTTCAATGAATATTTTTAAAAAATAGCCAGAGAGGCTGGGGGGCGGCGGGGTAGGAGGGGACTCCCAGGCAAGCCTATGTTTTATGAAAGATAGGAAGGACAGAAAGAGAACTAAGGATTGCTCCAGGAGAGCATGCAGAGCTTTAAGAAAAGCAGCGTCAAGAAGACAAAGCCCTTAGTGGGCTCTGGATCATGAAACACAGTAAGACCTGGGGCAAGGGTAGTTTCCTTGATGTTTTTATGTAACATAAGGAAAGGGTGGGCAGGAGGTCAAGGATAAAGGAAGCCTTGGAATGAGAGAATGGAAATCCCAGGTGGGCAATGTAGTTTTCACTAACACTGATGAAATCGTGGCCAGAGGCTCTGGCGGTCGGTCTTCTGCAAGTGGAATTGTTAGTCCTTGAGGAGCTGCAGGGTCGGATCAATGCTGGAAGGCTGCAGACAGGCCAACATCCTAATTTCCAAAGGAGGGAGAAGGCCGGTGAAGATGGAAGTAGAGCAGGAGGGTCTGACTTGATTTCAGTTCACGTTCTAGAAAGAGCATCTGGTATTGCTTCTTGGCCTTTTGGCCAAGATCAAGTGTAATATCTGTTCCTACCAGTTTAGGAGTGGACTCTATCAGAGAACAGTAGAGTAAATGTGTTTTTCCAGCAGGGAAGTGGAGTAGGAGCTTGTTCCTTCTACTCCGTGCATCCACTGGGTACTGCAGTACCTCCGGGAACGGTGCACCTCCACCTTAGAAAGGAAGAAAGGATAGCTTGTGTGCTTTCAGAGAAGAGGGAGGGACCATTCGGTTACCATGAATTAATAGAGAACGAGTTCTGTTGGGCTTGCCCTGCCCTCCATCTGCTTCACCATGGTGGATTTTCTGCACAGTGTTTGCCAGTCTCTCGTTGGATATCTAGGGACCAGATGCCGAAGCGTGAGCAGGGTGCCGACCTCACGGTGTATACTCAGGTGGGATCCTCACTGCTGTGAGTGGCTGCTGCTGGGAGCCACCCTCAGCCTGCCTGGCGTTTCTCTGCTGAGGACGCTGGTGGTTTGTCCAACAGATGCAGGGAGAGATGGACTTGAGGTGGTGGGCAGCAGGCAGGTTAGCTCCCGCTGGGAATCCACAGCTATCAGACAGACTCAGTGATGGGGCCAGTTCTAATGAGACTCGAGTTTTGAGTGGGGACACCTGTGTAAATAAGCCTACAGGTTGACAGAGGACCATGGAGCTGTGGCTGGTCAGGGACTCGGTCAGGTGTGGGGTTGTGGCTTCCTGCACCCTAGAAGGAGTTCTGGCAGAGGTGCAGGAGCTCCTAGTGCCCTTTGTGAAGGCTGGGGCCGCCAGGATGGAGGTGCTCTAGCCCTGTTGAGCTCTGTGTCAGCCAGCACTATCTGGAGGATTGCATTTGGGGCCCCACGTGTGCAGAGAGGCTGGCAAACTGCAGGTTGCCAGTTCAGGAGCAATCGCGGTGGTGGATGGAGGAGTGGTGCTTGTTCCGCACATCTGTCTTTGAAGTCACACTCCTGACGCTTCTGTTTTTGTGGGCTCTCCCAGGACACCTCTGGGGCAGATACTGTGTGGCTGGGCCAGGGGCCAGTGGGTGGCCAGCATGCCAGGCGCGTGAGTGCGTGCGCGACTTGTCCTCTCTCTGCAACACTGTGTGCTTGGGCATTCCAGCTTCATTCCCGCGGTTGAGTTAACGCTGGTGGATAGTACAGAGAGTTGAGTTCGGTTCTAGGAGTGTTTTGACGAATGCAGAGTCAGGTAACAGCGTCACCATCAGGGTTACAGAGCAAGAGCAGTTGGCAGTTTCCTCAGAGGGGGGTAGCTTTGGAGAGAAGCAGTCCTTGTTTACACACCCTGCTTGTTCCCTGAAGGACGCACAGAAGTTAGGAGAACCGAGTGAAATTTGGGCCGGCCGTTCCAATCTGCTCTTGCAGTCCCACTCTGCCCTTTGCCCCACTATCTGCCTCCTCACTTTGCTGTGACTTGTCCATTTCACAAGCATGCAACAGTCGGTTGAGTTTCCTTTTAAACAAGTCAGACATGACACATTGGGCCTGTGTGTTCCAGCAGCCACAGATCTCTTCCCTCTCTGTTGTGGCTAGAAGATGCTCTGCTACACCCTCCCATGTCCTTGTCCAGTAGCCGATCCAAAAACAGGCAAGGTTGGTCTTGTGCAACTTCTTAGAAAAGGAAACAGTGACTCTCAGGGATTAGTGTGGATTCACCAGTTGCCCGAAAATGACCTATTGAATTGTTTCTAGAATTTTCTAGAAATACATATTCTTCCCTAGTCTAGGGCTCAGATCCTATGTGGCAGCTGTGGTCCTTGAGCAACTTCTCTTTGCACAACGTTAGCTATGGAAAATTCTTGTCCAGACTTGATGTCCACACAACCCGTATGTAGCTTGCAGGAAATACTTTAAGAACAAAACTATAGTCTTTGTTCCTCTGATTATAAAGTTATTCTTGCTCATCATAAAATAAATAAAGGCCCCTAAACTTCAAATAATACAGAAATGTCAGGCACGAGAATGAGCGCTTTGTCTCATCCACAGAAGACGGGTAATAATGGGATGTTTCCGAACTTTTAAAGTAGTGTTTTATATGATGTGTAACTTTGCTTTCATAAGTGCCTTGGGGTTTTTTTGCTTTGCTTTGACTTGCCCCTTTTCACTCAATGATATGTTTTAGTGATTTTTCCATGACTCATGCAGACCTCTTGTTTTTAACAGTCATGTAGTCTGTCATGTGAGGGGACCATTGTGTGTTTCACCACTTCCCTGTTCTCAGATACATGCGCTGGTTTGAAATTTTCACTGTAATTATTATTGTTACTATTATTTTAAGGATTTTACTTATTTGAGAGAGGGAGAGCACAGAGGAGGAGGAGGGAGAAGCAGACTCTCCACTGAGTAGAGAGCCCGATGTGGGGCTCGGTCCCAGGACCTTGAGATCATGGCCTGAGCCAAAGGCAGGTGCTTAACCAAGCCACCCAGGTACCCCAAATTTTTACTGTTAACAACCACTCTCAGACATCAGTCCTTTGAGGCGTTCTGTTCTTTTTTGCATCTTACTCTTTTTAGTCATTGGAACTGGATCGGTAGTGTCCTGCTCCCCTGGTACCGTGCTGCTCTGACGGCCTGGAGCCAGTAGTAGCCTCAGTGGGAACTAGAGGCTTGTTGGAAATGTAGAACCTTAGACCGTCCCCTGGCCTTCTGGCAAACAAGCTCCGGGGTGAGCCTCATGCACATGTGTGCTTGGATAGCGCTGCTCTGGCACATTTGCACTGCGCACTTCCTGGAGCCCACTTTGGATGGCAGCTCTGGCTGTGTCAAGGGATTTCACTACCTGGGATAGGATTTCTCTGGGTCTGGATATAGTCAGATGCATCTAAAACACCGGGAGCACGGTCTTGCTCTCCTCGTTTAACCTGGGTGGTTCAGAGACTGCTGTGCCTGCCCTAGAATGTTTGACACACTTTCTCTTTGAAGAATGTCTTCTCTCATCTGTGCACACACTATCTGCCCAGTGCAGAGGGCTCCTTCCTTGTTTTGTTCTATAAGTCTTTGTTTATGGGCCTCTCCAAGCTTTCTTTTTTAATATTTTAAAATTTTTACGTAGTCTCTACACCCAATGTGGGCCTCTAACTCTCAACCCCAAGTATAAGAGTTGCATGCTCTATCTACTGAGCCAACCAGGTGCCCCGCCCTCTCTGAAATTTTACACAGATGAGCTACTAACTTGTTTCTTAAAGTTTATTTATTTATTTAAATGATCCTTGCACCCAGTGTGGGGCTCGAACTCAACCCAAGATCAAGAGTCAGTGCTCTACCAACTGAGCCAGCCAGGCTCCCCTGAACCAGCTGTAACTCTGGTTAGCTGTACGCAAACCTGTGAAGGAATGAGCAAGAGAGGTCTCTTTCTTTCTCTGCTGGGTCAGGTTTGGTTATATTACAACAGCTGTTTTGTGGGGTCCCACTCAGTCTTAGCTTGGTGGACACGTGAGCATTATTTAGCATGAGACAATAGCTGGGTTATTGCCACAGAAAGAAGACGACAGAGTAGTTGCCAGAGGTGTGCATGTGAGTAGCCGTTACTGCCCCGTGTTGGAGTTATAGAAGAGGGGTGCCCCTGGAATGCCATTCTGTACAGATCTACATTTAGGAGGGCTGACAGTGACTGAAGAAGGACTCAAAATCGAAAGTCAGGAGACTGGCTCCACCAAGTCAGGGTGTGGCTTTGGGTTAGCTCCTCCCCTTTTGCTTGAAGTGTTCACAACCTGTTACAAGGAGGGCTTATCTCAGACTGCAGCCATGTGGCCTCTCCTCTTTGTGAGCTGTTTGTGTGTTTTGTTTGGGTTCTGGTTTTTTTCAAAACCAATAAGAGCTTTAATGACTTGAGTAGTTCCGGGGGCTTATGAATGGAAAAGGGCAGCCCAAGAGAGATGGAGTGGCTTGAGCAGCACAGGTTCTAAGAAGTGGCCATGCCCAGGTTCACACCTAGTTCCAATCGACTGTTCACATTCCAGCTTGTCTGCATTGGTGTGAGCTTCCAGTACTAGGTTGTTGGTTTTCAGCCCACCTCTGACTGTAGACCAGATACTGGACTATTTCTTTTCTCTAAGTAGTTTCTGCCTGGCTTTTGGTAGAAATGGTCTTGTGCTATCTGTAAGCTAACGTGTACTTCCCTGCATGTCCTCGTCATTAGTCTTGGTTTCACGAGTCTCATGACTCTAATCTTTTAGATGGTTCTGAGTCCCTTTTCATCCATCTGAAGATGGTCATCTGATAACCATAGTCTTTGAAGGAAGATGAGGCTTTAGGTAAATGAAATAAGTTCTTTGAAATGTTACTACTACTGTAACTGCTGCTGACTTATATATACCTTTGCCATATATCTTCCTAGAGGTTTTTATACCTTGATCGCAGCTACCACTTGGCTAGGTGTTCCATATACTGCAAAATAATTTTAACAGCTCTCCAAAGAAGAAACGGGGGTTTAGAGAAGCTCAAAAACCTCTCCTGAGCCCCCACAGCTGCCTGTTGGCAGAGCCAAGAAATCAAACTAGAACAATGTGACTTCCATGCCTGGGTTCTTTCCCTACAGAGTCTGCCTACTTCTACCTGTTTCTAAGAAACAGGATCAGGGGGGTGCCTAGGTGGCTCAGTTGGTTAAGCATTCGACTCTTGATCTTAGCTCAGATCTTGATCTCAGGGTTGTGAGTTCAGGGCTCCCGTTGGGCTCCATGCTGGCACCAGTTCCCCACTATTGAGCATTGAGTCCGTCTTCCCCCGTTTTTCTGGTCATAAACAATGGAAAATCTCCCTCAATTGCTGTTTTGCATGCTCATCAGCTAGGCCAGGTGCTTTGGGCCTCTCGATGCTGTTTGAAGCATCTGCCAACGTTGCTATGTTAGCACACATCGCACTGGCAGGACTGAGCCCCAGTAGGCTCCAGTGGAGTGCAGGGAAGGGTGGGCTGAGTGAGCAGGGTGGATGGGTCAGGAGTGGTGAGAACTGGGGTGCAGCATTTTGAATGCTGGTTCTTGAGTTTGTACCTAACATCCATGTGGTTGAGGGCTGGGTTGCTCCAGTGGCACTGCCCCATGGTCACAGATGTGTGTGCATGTTTGAGCAGTGGTCAGAGGTTGGAGTGGAGCAGGAGAGCCTAGATGTAGGGAGACCAACTTGGAGGTTACTGGAGGGAGAGCTGCCGGTGGCCTGAACCAGGGCATGG